TTACTGAATTAAGCAAAACTAATCTATTCAGTATCATTTCTACTATTATTCTATTAAATTTCAGCTAAAACTTGAGTAGGATAAACAAAAACAACAAAAAATTATTTGCTGGGGGACTGGCTAGATGGCTCAGTGATTAAGAGCACTTTATGAAGATAAAGTTGGGTTCCCAGCACCCACATGGCAGCTCACAACTATCTGTAACTCCAGTTCCAGAGGATCCAATGCCCTTTTCTGACCTCCTTAGGCCCTAGGCATGCATATTGTATATATGCTTACATTCAGACACTTGTACACATAGCAAATGAGGCAGATGAAGACCAGTAGTTGGAGGCGTATCTGGATTTGGTGGTGCTTGCCTTTAATCCTTACACTGAAGAGGCATAGACAGATTTCTATGAGTTCAAGGCCAGCCTCATTTACATAGGGAATTTCAGGCCAGTCAATGCCATATAGTGAAGTCCCATCTCAGCATAGTTCAAGGCTGGCCCAGACTACACATTCAGGCCCTGTTTCAATAAAAGAAGCAAGAAAGACAACAGTGCTGGGAGGGATATATAGCTCAGTTGGTAGCATACTTGCCTGTCATGCATGAAGTCCTGAGTTTCATCCCCAATACTGTAAAAATTGGGCATAGTAACCAATACCTGTAGTCCCATCATTCTGGAAGTAGAGGTAGGAGAATCAGGAGCTCAAATCATCCTTAGCTATGTAGAGAACTTGAGATGAACCTGGGCTACCTAAGACCCTTGTGTCAAAGAAAGAACAAAATATGCACTTTCATACACATACTTAGGAGTATGAATTGGTCCAGTTCAGCTATTGGAGGAACAATATGGCTGTATAATAGTTTTATCTGTGAACATTTGAAACGTGTGTTCTTTTGACCAAAAAGTTCTATTGCCAGATATATTCATACATTTTCATATGAATATGTAGAAGAAACTTGATTCCAATATTATTTGTAACAATGAGACTGTTGGGAATGACCTAATCATTGGCTGTATAATGTCAGACAACTAGTTGGTTTCTGCTACAAATTCAGACCCACTTCACTAGTCTCCATAGGTCCTGTTTACCCCAAGTTAGAGTAAATGCTTGACCCAGGAAAGCCAAGTCCAAGGTCTTACAGCCACATGTCTCTTCTGGGTAGATCACTTCAACATTTCCCATTGTTCACCTCTACATTTGCCTTTGTATTAAGAGTTTTTACATTGTGTGTGTGTGTGGGGGTGGGTGGGTGGGTGTGTGTGTGTGTCAGAGAGAGAGAGAGAGAGAGAGAGAGAGAGAGAGTCAGAGGACAGCTGTCAGGAGTTAGTTCTCTCCTGCCATGTACATTCCAGGAGTTGGATGCCAGTCTTCAGGCTTGGGGGTGAGCGCCTTTACCGCTGAGCTCACTGTGAAACCCTGCTTCCATGTTTCCTAGTGAGAATTCTAGAACCAGGTAACCCAAACCTGGGAATGATTTTATTAGCCGAAAACTTGATGGGAGATTCAGACTTAGACTAAAACCCAGTCTCATTTTGTCAAGGTCAAGGAGCCTGTGCTGTATGCCATATGATGAAAATCAGTGGTTGGTTCCTGTGGCATTTCCCTGATAAATGACTGTGATTTACTAAAAGTGAATAGGTTTCTGATACATGAGTCAAGTCTGTGGGAAGAGGTTAGTTACTCAGTGCAGCTTCGGAGGCTCCATGACAGAATGTTTAGCATTTATCAAGCACTACCCCAGGTCTTTCATTTGAATAGATCATGTGATCAACAGAAGTCAGCTGTTATATTAGCCCAGCACTATCTGAAACAAATCGGAGCTACAAGCTTAAGTTTTGTAGCTTTGTAGTAGCCACATGAAAAACAAGGCATGATGTTAATAATCCATATCATATTAACATATTACTACCATAGAACTGGTAATTTTACATTCTTTTAGAGATGCTAAATCTTTGAACACAAATCTTAGTTTGGCTTAGCTACATTTCAAGTGTGGCCAGGAACTGCTGTGCTGTGCAGGGCAGAGCTAGACTGTAAGCCCCAGAGACAGTGTCACTGATCCAGCACCTGTCATGATAACCGTTCACAGCTGTTGTCCAGTAATATCTGGATTTAGAGTGAGTGAGTGGATACATTGTATGTCAAATCATCTTTTTATTTTGCCTCAGTATTTGAATCACATGAGTTATGCTCATGTTTGTAGTTTGTAGTAAACTTGGGACACCTTCTCTGCTTCGTGCCCACTGAGAGGAAGTCCTAGAATGCTACTGTATTCTTTTCACATCTGCCCAAAATGTAAAAACCTAAAAGTTATCTAATGGCTCCTGGAAATGAAAAAATAATAACATTCCAAAGACTCTTAGTTCCTGTCTATTGAGCATATAAGTTTGTCTTACTAACTCCTAGATGTATTTATTACTTGCAGTGATCATTTCACAGTCCAACACCTGTCCCCTAGATCACTCTCCCCCTCTTCCCTACTGTTCCTTTGCTGCTGGGGACATTCTGAGCACCTGCTCTGCCATTGAGTTCCATGCCATGTGTCTTGGTCCACAGAGTCCATATGTCAGAGTCCACAGAGCTGGACATTGTCTTGATCGGCCCTGCCATTGTTTACTTTGCCCTAAAGTTACGCATTGTGTTTTTCCCATGGTGTCAGGTGTAGTAGGTGATGCAGGATAAGTACATGCTGTTAGCTTTTGAGAAGCCTTTACTCCGTTTGCATTAGGAAAACAGATGAAGTGAGTAGGGAAGAATCGGTTACCTTAGGCTTGTCTGTAGAAAAGGGGTGCACATACACTTCTCTTCCCTCAAATAGCTCCTGTCACCTGGAAGGATGCACACAGAAGCCAGTGAACATTTAAAAACAACAAATGTGTGTGGGACAGTGGTACTGTCCCTAGCACAGATGAGGAAACAGAGATTCAGTGAAGGTCCTGGTTTGTACATGGTACTAGTTCAAAGAACCTGGATCCAGCCTAGATGTTGTGGGCGTCCTTCTCAGTCCTGCGCATACACTCTCCTGTGTTTCCAGTGTGCCAGAAGGAAACTCACTTCCTTGCTTACATTAAATCACAGCTTATTTGTAAACTTGCCAGCTGATTGCAGTTGCCCGGTATTACTCCCATTTAGGAAGTGACACTGTTCCCATCTAAGAACTGTTTACGTTTGCCCTAACATTTAAGCAGGAGGCTGCTGAACCAGAAGGGCCCTAGAAGGGCTGCATAGAGTAAACTTGGAAGCATTTCTACCACTGGAGACTTGAAGGCCAGGTAGGCTAGGCCAAGATCAAAGGAAGCACTCTAGGCCTGCTGAGCAGTGACGATAACTCAGTCCTAGTGAGTAGAGAGAGGCAGTAGTTTTGCCTCAGAGGGCTCTGAGATGCTCAGGGAGCGTCAGGGATTTGCACACAGGAATGACTTGCAGCAGAGTAACTAAGAGATTCATTGTTTCTTTGTTTTTCTGTTTTTTCTCTAGTTCTCTGCATAGTTTTTCAAGTCTTGTTCTAAAGTGTACCTTAGAAAGTGGGGTTTTTGCTTAAAAAGACATGAAAGGCCTTATTAGGTTGGTAATAGATACCAACCTAAACCATATTTATTGGATGTCTAGTAGTGTCCTAAGTATTAATGAACATTATACTAATATCTGTAGCACATGAAAATAGAGATGTTTTTAGGGTTATGGCAAATATGATATCCTCTTGGTCCATATTGTATTTTATCTTGTTTGGTTCTATAACTATTTGAGGGTTTATGTAGACTGGTATAAGAAGTTGTAAGGATAATAGAAATATAAAGTAGTGGGCTTTTTTTTCACCCTTTAAAATGATCTCAAAATAATTTTAAATGAACTAATATATGTGTATATAATTTCATCATTTATTTATTGTATACTGGGGATTAAGCCAAGGGCCTTGAATATGCTAGGCAAGTACTCTACCTACTTGAGCTATATCACCAGCTTTTAATTAATTTATTTATTTATTTTAATTTTCAGACAGGCTATTCCTAAATTGCCGAGGCTGGTCTTGAACTTATGCTCTGAGCCCAGACAAGCACTGAAATTATGGTTCTCTTGACTCAGCCTCCCAAGTAGCTTAGATTACAGGCTTGTACCACAAGGCCTGGCTAGTTAATGTAGTTGAAACTATAGAAAGGTTATGTGGCTGTAGCTCAGTGGTGGGATGCTTGCCAACCATGCACAAGGCAGGTTTTACTTCTGTGTCATCAAGGAAAAAAAGCTTTAAATTCTGGAACTTGCCTCCTTCCTGTTTGCCAAGCTTTGCTTTTGTCTGTGGTCCTGGGGTCCTAGCCAGGATCTTTACCAATACCTTGGAGTCTCAGAGGTCAGGTCTTACTTCCATTTTTAAATTTTTGACCATTTTGAGTTAAACATTTTTTTGCATAAATAGCTTTTCTTAGTAATAACTTTAAACAGAATATAAGATGTTTTGGGGGGATAAATTCAGACTTTTCTCTGAAAAGTTTTGGAATAGTATCCAGAGAATTAATTTTGCTCTGACCACATGAGAGCCAGCTTTCTTTTTAAGTGTATGCTTACATGTATGTGTTTATTTAGGCATGACTCATTCATGTTTGTGGTTGCTTTCTCCAGTAGTCACAGTTTAATCCAGTTTGCCTGTGCTCTCCCCTAAACAGTAAGGAAATCTAACCTCTGACCTCTTAGCTTCTGAAGAAGTAGGCCTTTCCTCTTCCTTTTCTTGAATTCCACATCGTCAACCATTTCCTTGAGTTTACCATGCTGTATCACCTCTCCTGGGAAAAAGTCTCTTAGTCTTTGAAATTTAGAAATCATGAAATAAAAATAAAGACTAGCTTCTTAAAATCTTAAGTAGTCTGTGCGAATATATAAAATAATCTAAGTAAATGACATATATTGTGTTAGGAATCCCTTCCTGCCTCCCTTTTAAAGTTCAAATGGTTGTTACTAGTGTTGTTTATGCTCTTCATCTGTGGGCCACATTTGGAAAACTGTCCTTTCTTCCTTAGGCCACAGACCTCCCCCAGCCCGCAGTGGACATCGTTGTGTGGCTGATAATACCAATCTCTATGTGTTCGGAGGGTATAACCCAGACTATGATGAGTCAGGAGGCCCGGATAATGAAGACTACCCTCTCTTCAGGGAGCTTTGGAGGTATCATTTTGCAACAGGCGTGTGGCACCAGATGGGCACAGATGGCTACATGCCCCGGGAATTGGCATCTATGTCACGTAAGTGCCAGCAGTTCTGAAATTTTTACTTTGTGAACCAACTGAAATGTCAGGTTCAGTGTCACTTGATCCTTGTTATAATTTATACTATTGTAACGTGATTAAGTTGTCACTGAATAGGCATTTCACTGCAATGATAATGTAGTGTGGTGTCTTTGAATCCCTGAGTTCCTGGGTTTGAATCTAACTGTATAATACTGGATTGCCAGATGAGTTTTAACTTTATTTGCCTATAAAGTAAGATTAGCACTGTCTCAGAGGGTTCAGTACAAAATAATATACACACACACACACACACACACACACACACACACACACACATATATACATGTATATATATGTGTGTGTTAGGAGCAATGTAGTCAAGATGAAAAAATGGATTTGCAACTATGGTAGTTACTAGTTATTAAGTGAAGTCTTCACCTCCTTACAGCATCACTATGTTAAGTTTCTATAGTGATTGCCATTGTACAAATGAGCCTGAGGTTTCGTAGAGGCCCTGAGAATAATGGCTAAAAGTGCATGCTCTGAAGCCAGACTGTGATTGAATCCCAGCTCTTTTTAGGAAACCATCAGTAAGTTATTTAAACTGTTCTTACTAGGCATGGTGGTACATTCCTACAATCCCAGCATTTGGGAGGCTGAGACAGAAGGGTTTCAATGAGTTCAAGGCTAGCCTGGGCTATATTATAGCAAGACCTTATCTCCTGAAAACAAACAGGAATTAAAACACAAACATTTGCCAGTTCTGTTTCTGTTTATCATCTCTAAAAATGTAAGTTGGGCTCATTGCTTAGTGGTAGAATGTACCAAGCCCTGGATGCAAACTTAGCGCAGAGAGGAGACAGAGGACAATTAAAAAATAGAGAGAGAAGAAAATAACATTTACAGCTCCTACCTCATAGAGTTGTTGGGAAAATTAAGTTAGGGAGGTTAACTAGTTTTCCTGAAGTCACACTAGATTTAAATGCAACTCTTGACCTAACTGCAGTGCAGACTGTTACCACTGCGGTGCAGACTGTTAGCCACTGCAGTGCAGACTGTTAGCCACTGCGGTGCAGACTGTTAACCACTGCAGTGCAGACTGTTACCACTGCAGTGCAGACTGTTAGCCACTGCAGTGCAGACTCTTAGCCACTGCAGTGCAGACTGTTAGCCACGGCGGTCCAGACTGTTAGCCACTGCGGTGCAGACTGTTAGCCACTGCGGTGCAGACTGTTAGCCACTGCGGTGCAGACTGTTAGCCACTGCGGTGCAGACTGTTAGCCACTGCGGTGCAGACTGTTAGCCACTGCGGTGCAGACTGTTAGCCACTGCGGTGCAGACTGTTAGCCACTGCGGTGCAGACTGTTAGCCACTGCGGTGCAGACTGTTAGCCACTGCGGTGCAGACTGTTAGCCACTGCGGTGCAGACTGTTGCCACTGCGGTGCAGACTGTTAGCCACGGCGGTGCAGACTGTTAGCCACTGCGTTCCAGACTGTTAGCCACTGCGGTGCAGACTGTTGCCACTGCGGTGCAGACTGTTAGCCACTGCGGTGCAGACTGTTGCCACTGCGGTGCAGACTGTTAGCCACTGCGGTGCAGACTGTTA